CCAGTTTAGGGTTACCAAGGCGCGGCTGATGAGCTGTGGTTCAAACAACTTTACATTCCAGCGCATTAGCCCACAGTGCATACCTAAAAGGGGTCCTAGAATTTGCCTAGTGAAGCAGGCTTCTTGTTAAGTCTTTGTAAAGTATGGGGCCTTAGGTAGGATCTGGAGCCCCATCCAGAACCTTCTGAGGTGAGACAGTTCCACTTGAAAGGGTATGCAGACCAACCTGGAGCAGTCAAAGGAACAGAAGATACTTCCTGAAATAAAGACCAGCAGGCAAAAAAGCAGTCTGTTTGGCTATTACAAGAACAAGCGGGGAAGGGGGTAAACAAGATGGTGGATCAGGTGAAAGTGCAGTGAGGAGCTCCAACAGCAATAACAAAGAATACTGGACCAAGCAGGCTCAGGAGATGGTGCTAGAACTCTGAACCACATATATAAAGGCATATTTAGAAGACTGGAAGGCTTACAGTAGGGGAATTGGTAGCAGAAGCAAGAAATCCACTGCTTTCTAATTCAAGACACGCAGCTGCTCCAGGATTCACTATCTTGGGAGAGACCAAGCAGGAGAAGTATTAGGGCATCCACGGACACCTGACAGAACCGTGGAGATAAAAGTGTGGACATTCTTTTTTTTTTTTGTATCTGTTCATACTGTTCATAGGTCTCTCGCTGTCTGTGCACCTCAATTCTGGTGACTAGAGGGGATGCCTGAACAAGTGGACACTTCACCCCCACTCCAAACCCAGAGGGTTCTACTACTCATGCGCAAAGATTTCCTCGAAATTTAAAGTGACAATTTCCATTTAAACCAAACGGCAATGCTAAATGGTCACAGCCAGCCCTGAACTGTTTATCACTAGGAAAAATGCCAGAACAGGGAATGTGGAGGAGACCAGGCAGATTAAAAAGGAAATAGGCTGAAAATTAAATCCTGAGTTACGTCTCAACGACCAACAGTGGCATCTTGAAACTTCTCAGGAAGAAGAGTAAAAAGGGAAGTCCATCTCCTGATCACATTTACCTGGAGGTAATCAGCATAAAAAACAACAAAGTACACAACCATCTAAGTATTAAGGCCACAGATAACTCCTGAATATGCCCCCAAAAAAGAAACAGATGACCATATATCA